CTTCTCCCTAAAACATCATAACTTTTGCTCAAAAATGATCCTTTGCGTGTATTTAAAGAAGTAGGTTCGGGTTATAAAAACCCAAAAATGAAGCTCCGGAACAAGGTCTGCGATCGCATAATCGATATGCGGACCGCATATCGGCCGCATAATTGGTGTCCAAAACTGGCAAAACTCTGCCTAGGTCTGCGGTCACTATGCGGCCCGCAGACCTGTTCTACGGTCGCATAGTCAACCGCAGAATGGCATCCAAAACCGCCCCTCTCCTGCCTCACTTTGCGGCCATTATGCGGTCCGCAGAGTGATTCTGCACAACAAAACATTATTATTATATTTTTTTTGCAAAATGTTACTGGGCTTTACACTTAAGTACTTCAAAATTTTCCGGGGTGTTACAGATATAGTGCCTCCAAATCTTCAGTGCATGAATAATGGCTGCTAGCTCCAATTATGTATAGGATAATTTTGCTCGTGCTTCTTTAACTGTCTGGAAGCATAAACAATTACCATTCCATGCTACATCAGCACACAACCTAAGACAATCCGAGAAGCATCACAGTAAATAATATAACCCTCAGATCCCTCTGGAAGTGTACGAACTGAATTTGTAATAAACTTGTTCTTCAACTCCTAGAAACTCCGCTCACATCCATCTGACCACTGAAATTTGGCTGCTTTCTGTGTTAACCTAGTCAGTGGCATTGCAAGGGAAGAAACCCCTTCTACGAACCTCCTCTAATACCCTGCCAAACCCAGAAAACTACGTACCTCAGTTGGCATCGTAAGTCAGAGCCAATTCTTCACCGCATCTATCTTCTGACCATCTACTTTGATACCCTCTGCTGATACTATATGTTTAAGAAATGCTATCGAACTCAACCAGAATTAGCACTTCGAGAATTTGGAATGCAACTTTTGGTCCCGAAGGATACCCAACATTGTGTGTAGATGCTCTGCATGTTCAGATTCAGACTTGGAATATACCAAAATATCATCAATAAACACTATCACAAATAGGTCCAGATAAGGCCTAAACACACTGTTCATAAGATCCATAAACATCGTTGGGGCATTAGTCAGCCCGAATGACATCACTAGAAACTCGTAATGGCTATACCTAGTTCTGAATGTTGTCTTAGGTATGTCACACACTATAACTCTAACCTGATGGTAGCATGATTTTAAGTCTATCTTTGAGATGCACTTATCACCCTGAATCTAGTCGAACCAGTCATCAATTCTGGGAAGGGGATATTTGTTCTTGATCGTGACCTTGTTCAGTTGTCTGTAATTTATGCATATATGTAGGGAGACATCTTTCTTTTTCACAAATAAGACTAGTGCTCCCCAATAAGAAGTGCTAGGTCTAATGAAACCCTTATCTAAAAGATCTTTCAACTGCGCCTTAAGTTCCTTTAATTCTGTTGGTGCCATCCTGTAAGGAGGAATAGATATTGGTTGCGTACCTGACACTATATCGATGGGAAAGTCAATTTTCCACTCTGGAGGAAGACCTGGAAACTCATCTGAAAATACATCAGGGAACACATTCACTACTGGAACTGATTCAAGAGTAGGCGTTCCCTTCTCTATGTCTCGAACATGAACTATATGATATAAGCATCCCTTGGTGATCATCTTCCTCGCTTTAAGATACGAAATAAAGCTACCTTTTGGCGATGAAGAAACACCTTTCCATTCTATAGTTGACTCTTCTGGAAAATTAAACTTGACTATATTCGCTCTACAATCAACATTAGCATAGCAAGAAGAAAACCAATCCATACCAAGTATAACATTAAAGTCAACCATTTCTAACTCAATCAAGTCAGTTGTAGTACTATGGTCGCCAATCACAACAGTGCAACCTCTAAAACACACCTAGCTAACTGAATCACCAACTGGGGTGGCTACCTCAAAAGGTTTAATGGCTTCTGGTTCTATCCCAAACTTAGTAGCAACAAAGGGAGTAACATATGATAGTGTAGAACCAGGATCTATCAACACATACACATTATGAGAATTCACTGATAAAGTACTTGTAACCACATTTGGTGAAGCCTCCTGATCCTAACGACCAACTGGAGCATAGGTGTGGTTCTGGGGACCACCTGTAGTAGGAGCTCTGCCTCGGCCTCTACCACGGCCTACTGGTGCCTAAGGAACTTGCCCTTGCGGGCGTACTGGTGCTGAAGAAGCTGCAACTGATCTTGCTGGTTGAGCTGCACCACTACCACACCTAGACGGGAAATATCTCATAAAATGGCATGACTCACCACAAACATAACATACATCTACACCCAACTGGCATCGGCTCAAATGGCGTCTACCACAATTAGAACACCTAGGGGTGAATTGTAAGGCCCCGTAAAATTTCGCCAAGGGATTCAAGATTTGTGGTGCCGAGGTAGGCTTATGTGTTTGAGGAGTTGATGGAAAGTTTTGAAGAATAAGGCAATTCTGCGGTCTGTTTCGCGACCGCAGAACCATTTTGTGAGCCGCATAATCATCACAGAGTTGAGCAGGGAGTTTATTAAATAATGAAGGTTATTTTGCGGTCCATTATGCGATCGCATAGTTATTTCGCGGTCCGCATTTTTCGTCATATATTTGGCAAGAAGAATTTTGTTGGATCATTCTGTGGTTCATTCTGCGGTCGCATAAGTGGTCTGCGGACCGCAGACCTGTCGCAGACCTATCCAGACCATTCCAATTTTTGGGCTTCTGTTTCGCGGTCCATTTTGCGGACCGCATATCTGTTATGCGGTCCATTCAGTGACCACAAACCTGAGTTTGGAGGGTCCATTTTCCTATTTTTATAACCCGACCCCATTTTGATAAATAGCCTTAGGGGCTTACTTTGAAGCAAATATCTAATGAATTTAGAGAGAGGTAAGAGCATTTTAGAGAGATAAGGAGGAAACCTAGCATTCTAATCACCCATTCTTGCACCAATCTTCAAGAATCAAGGAAGTCAATCACTAGATTATCATCTATCCGGGTAAGTCCTACTCCTAAGCTTTCATGCAAGGGGTTATGAGTTCAAGTATATTGTGAGGGTTGGAAATAGGCCATGCATGTGACAATAGGTTGTAGTATGTGGGGTTAATGAACTAGTTTGGGTAGTTTCTTGTTGAAATTGGTTGAGGGAGGAAGGGATTACCATTATAGAGCATTGTAGTCCATTTTGCATACTAGGTGTTTGACAAAATTTCTAAGAGAGTTACACCATGTGAATCCTTCTAATTCTTATCTGATTTTCGCTATCTTTCTATAGATTGTTATTGCTAGAAGTATTGAGACATTGTAGTAACTTAAAGAAAGCTCAAACAAGGTATGTTGGCTAAACTCCTCTTTTATAATTGAACCCCCACAATGTTCTTGTAAGTCCCATGTTGCTCATTATAAATTGATTATTCCCAATAAGCCTTGTGTTATAAGATATATGCGTTCAATTTGTATTCCAAACGTTCTTGTTATGTTGAGTTACTATTTGAGAAGTCGATTAAGCATGGGTTGTGTGTTAATATGTTATGATTTGAAAACATGATTCTAATGAAAACAAGCATGTCGAATTGTGTAAGAAATCACATGTACCTAAGACCCTTAACTTGGTTAGTTGCTCAAATGTGTATTTAAAGTCTTGAGTAGAAATGCCTTATTGTTGATAATCTATAAGGATGCTTGAAAGTGAAAGAAGCGGGTTGGAGATATAAAGAGTGGCCAACGTGCCAAGAATGAAAGTTATACTTGTGGCCAATGGTGCCGAGAAAATGAAATGATGTGAGAAAGGTTATGAAATAAGCCTTGATTCAACTGTTCCAAACTGACTTCGAAAATTAGATTTGCCTAAAAGTTTATGTACCCAAGTTATGCGTAAATGTGGTTGTGTTAAATAATGCTATGCTTTGTAAGTATGTCCAATGTGTTTTGAGCTCTTATATCTTCATGAGCTGAAATTGTGTATTGCCCCTATTGAGGAAAAGTATTTCATGAACAAATTATGTGTTACACGTTTATGATTTTAACTTGTTCTTCGATTGCCAATCAATTTACTCCATTTCTTGGAAAGAAATTCATTGTGTTTAAAGTCTTCGTTACTAATAAATCCAAATTTGTGATTTTTGAAATATTCTATTTCTTGATATTTATGATGATGATCCATAAAAGTAAAGAAATAAAAATGTGGAATATGAAATACGGCCAACGTGCCACGGATGAAGAATCATAAGTATGGCCAAGAGAGTCAAGGAAATAATGATGTTGTGAATGATTGAAAGTACTAACGAAACTATAACTATATATATATATATATATATATATATATATATATATATATAGGGTGAAAGGTTAAGAGGTGAATATAAAATATATTTATACTTTTGTTTCCCTTGTGTGCAAAACAAAAATGTTTTTGGGAGTATCATTAGCAAACCGAGAAAGAGTGGGTCATAAGGCCCACACCCGAAACTACGCGTGCCGGTGTAGGGGCGGATTGTGATTATTTCCCTTATTTGGGATTAGATTGCAATATTGAGGTGATTGTGATTATTTTCCTTAATTAGGATGAGATTGATATTATCTGTGAATTGGAATGTCAACCCACACAGCATATGTGGGAAGGCGACCTAGCCGATCGGGTGGAGATCGGATGCCATGTTGCGCACATTTTTGGTACTACTCTTGGTAACACCTTTTTTTTTTGCATCACATGTCAAACCATATTGTTCGTGGGGAGATAAACTAGCCGATCGGGCGTGATCGGACTCCGTGATAAAAACATGGTGGTATATCTGTGCTAATGATTTCCCAGCCAAAAATATATATTATTTTTGTATCTTGAAAATTATTATGTTTTAACTGGGCATTTGGATATTGTTGATTGTGACTTGCTATTTCATTGATTTTCCCTTTCTTATATTGGCATTCTATTTTGAAAGTGGACATTTAGCTTTACATAGTAGTACTATTCTACATGTACTAACATCCATTTTGCCCAGGGTACTGTATCTTCAATGGATGCAGGTGGTTCGTCCGCGGGCAGTTTTGATCCTCGTTAGCAGTTACTCTCTATTCAGCATATTTTGGTGAGCCCTACTATGTTTCGGGTTTCATGTCATTTGACGTTGTACTTTATGTTTTGAGGTATAGCCGGGGCCTTGTCGCCGGCACTTCCATACCACTCTTCTGTTGTACTTAGAGGCTCTGTAGACAGGTTGTGGGTGGTGTTTAATATTGGGAATTAAACTAGTAATTGTTGGTATTTGGGAAAATATGTTTTCATCATATCTATAAACTTGTAATATTTTAGAAATCCTACTTGAATATCCTTTAGTAATGGAAAAAGATTGTAGAGCACTTGACTCTTCTCATGTCTATCACTTGTACTGATTCTTATATTGTTAATGGGCAAGGTAGGGTAGAAGGCATCTAGCAGGCTTGCTCGGCTAGGGTATCTCGGTTGAGCGCCGATCGCGCTTCCCGTGGTCGGGGCATGACATGAACCACCCTAACTAGAAATACCTTGATGCTGGGATCCAGAAACCCGTGATGCCTGAGTAGCTCTAGACTGTGGGGGTCGATCATATCTCGGCCCCTGAAATCGTGAAGGAGTACTATATGCTGGCTGCCTGAAACTCTGGTGTCTACTTGAACCATATGTCTCAAAACAAACCTGAAAATCTGTGTCTCTTGCTTGAGATTCTATCTATGTCAGCCCTCTCCTTCTGTTTCTTTTCCTCAAGTGCTAAGGAGAATTCCTTAATACGTGCAATTTCCACAGTCGACTGCATAGATACAGTCATACACTCATTTACTAAGTGAGGACCAATCTCGCTACATATATGTGTACCCTATCCTCCATGTCTGATACAACTGCAGGAGCAAACCTCGCCAAAGAATTAAAGTGGAGGATGTATTCTACAACACTCATACCCCCTGTCTCAATGTCAGGAACTAATCCAATCGGGATCTATGTGTCTATGTAGGTAAGTAATGGCGGAGGAATGCCTCTGAGAACTCCCTCCATGTAGCTAGAGCAGCATTTGCTCCCCTAGACATCTCCCAAGTGGTATACCAACCTGCTGATATATCCTGTAATTTATATGCTGCCAATTCAACTGACTCTATATATGTCATGCATAACTCTAAGGGCTGTGGCTACTCTGTCTAGAAAATCCTTGGGATCCTCTGTTGTACTAGATCCCATGAAAGCTGGAGGCTCTAATCTAAAGAAATCACGAATCCTAGAACCCGTATCGTCACACTGAGGACTTGTATGCTACCGCCTAGCCTGAGTAGATGCAATGCTAGTTAATAATCTGACGAACTCCCTCATGTCGTCATGCTGAGGAGCCGGAGGTACAGTAGCCGGAGCACCCCTAACCTCTCCCTGAACAGACAAAGTCTCTGAAGTTGTCACGTCCCAAACCTGAGGAGGCGTGGCCGGTGCTCGATGTCATACTCGGCCCGAGCGTACCACTCTGTAACTGTGAACTATGAAGGGGTAACCCTCAACTTAGGCCGATGAGTCCATATTCTGAATCATCTGAAAATAATGTCTCTCATCTAAGGGAAAAACATACCCAAAAGCTCATATACGTAACTCTGCAGGCCGACGAGGCCCCCATGAACGTCTACAACCAGCAATACCAAATTGAACATGCACACAGGGCTAGCAAGGCCACAATACTAACATACGAAATATACAGGACTCGTCTACAAGCCTCTAGAGATAACTGAATAGTATCATGGTCGGGACAGGGCCTCGACCTACCCATCAAACCGGTATATATAAAATGGACTCCAAGGTCTAGACCTGGTAACCCCGGGGAAGTGGAGCTTACCAACCAAACTGATGTTTGACTTTGCCTCCTGGGAAGGTCTATCCAGCTATCTATCAGGACATGCAGGTATGAAATGCAGTGTCCCCGACAAAAAGGGCATCAGTACGAAATAATGTACCGATTATGTAAGGCAACAGAAAAACTAAAAGTTGAAACTGAGCTGATAATATAATAACTAAAAGTAACTAGGAGTCAAAGATAATCTGAAGATATGCTTACCTACTGATACTAACTCAACTCTCTCAATATAGTAAGTAAAATAGGTGTCCGGCCCTATAAGGCTTAGTATGTGTAACTGCCCTGCCTTAGTAGGCTCACTCATAGGCGGACGGTCTTACTAGGCTTTGTATCTCGGCCATTCTGGGCTCGCTCATAGGTGCTCGGCCATAGTAGGATCAGTATATAACTTACCATCTGATCAGAGGTTGCCCAATATGGGGCCTNCTCGTTATCAAACACATGTAGTTACGGGATCATGCCAAAATGAAGGAAAGGTTTAGCCTTAACACACCTTATCACAATCTGTCCAATAACCACGTTAAAATCATCTTGTTGCATCTTAATCTACAAAAATGATAACAATACTATCATCAAGTTATGGAAGGTACAACTATCGCACAACGAACGACAAGCTTATTTTATAATAAAAAGGGCAACATCTTCCCTATAATCTTTACTTCCTCCAAATTTGGCACAACACCAACAATAACAAGAACACACCAATAATAATACGTATACATCATTTTCCAACCTTATATACATCACAAAATACCACTTAACAGCCTACACACCCCAATCAGTTCATACACAAAATGACAACCCTAGTAGTGTGAAATAACTTGAAAATGTAACGAGGAACGACCAGCCAACCACCTTGACATTATGTGGTATTTCTCCACAACCTTTATCCTCCCAAACTCCATAAAAATAGTTGCAAAAGAAACAACCCAACAGCAACACGAAACAACCCACAAAATAGTCCTACAAGTTCAGCAACTCAAAATTGATTTTTCAGTTTACTAAAACACGTTTTGACTTATCTTTTCTATCAAATTGAGAAACACAACCAACGGTACATAATTAAGCCTCTTATCCTATAAATCAGCCATGAATTCAACTTAAAAATAAGTTCACAACCAGCCAACAATGATGCAACAACAAACATCATACCACTATTTTGAAACTCGCCAGGTCTAGTCTTTACGATCGAGTTACAACTCGTACAAGCATAGATAATGGAAGGAGAAGCATAAATTTACCTTGGAATGAGTAAAACCCACGAAACCTAGTCCTTATTCATCCAAAATCAGTCCCCCAACACATCTACAAGAAGGAGAAAGAGAAACTAGCAAGTTGTCCGGGGTTTTCGCCACTAGACCTACATCGTATCACCCGAAATTACCTACGATTTATGTGGGATTTTTGGGGAGGAGGTGCAGGGGTTCAATCTAATTTTCTTTGTCTTAGCAATGAGTGAAATAAATTAGTTAATAATTCCTTAAAAGTTCCCTCTTGGCCGACTTTAGGAGCTTTTAATTGAGGCCTCTCCTTTTGGCAAGTAGGTGATGCACCTACTTGTCACCTACCAGTCTGCGCAGTCTCGCGAAAATGCGAATATCTCTCTACTCCAATGTTGTATCAATGAGAGGTTTAATCAGTTGAAAACGAGACTCATAGATCTTCAATATTGTAGGTAGATCATTCAGTAATTCCATGTACATTGGGAGAAATGATCATCTACATTTGACCTAATGTTCAGCATATTTATGAATGTAACTTGTGATGATCTTTGCCAACTTTTGTTCCACAACTCGCTTGACCTCAAAACATAACACACGACTATCATAAGACTAAAATCACTCATAACGTAACCTCCTTATCATTTTGAACACCCTAGTCTCACCCCAAAAGTACATGTTATAACATTCCCAACTTGTCGACTTTCGACGAAACTTATTTTCTTCAATTCGTTTAGCTTCTAAGCCTTCCAACATGATCTTAAATATTTGTAACCTTCAAGTTCACATGATTAACTTACTTTATGTACTTTCAAAGATGATCTCATTTCTGAGCTTACATTAATTGACTTACAACGTACTCTCACGTATGAAAATTTGGGGTGTAACATCATTCCCCCCTTTGGAACATTCGTCCTCGAATATTGATTGATGCGCTTATCAGTCTCATAACCTATAGCTGTTATGAACACTTTAGTATTGTTCTTGACATCTAGGCAACTATTCTGTGAGTAAATCCAAAGCCCAGGGCATTCCCTCCTTTAGGCCTCTTTCTCGCACCATGACCTGTGGTCGGAATTCTTCCAATCTCGTTACTGCTGCTACCTTCTATCTTGTAGCCTGAATGACTCTATCCATGTATGTGCACCTATGCGACTCTCCTCTCCTTTTTCCTCCAGCTATTATCCAATCTCTAGGTCTCACTTTGTCAACATATACAGAACTATGACAAGCTGTCCCTCTAGGCATCTATAGGTGTATTGAAGTCCTTTGCTTGGTACTTTGTCAAACTTACGACTATTGCTATATCTTGTTTCATAGCCTCGGTTATTTGTGCTTATGGCTTTACTATATCTAGGTAGGTCATACTATACCATAACACTTACTTCAATTTTTATTATTACCGAGGTCTGCTACCAACTCCGGGTTACTCTCTCGCTGCTTATCATATATGTATAAATCTAAGTCCTTTAATGCTTTCTTATTACTGTTCATCTAAAGAATGGTATCTTAATCTCCTCTCATGCTTTGGAACTTTGATCCATCTATTGTTGATTCACCTTAATGTTGATCTATAATCTACCACTGATAAATTGAAACCTCTTAAGCAATACATTGTGACTAGGACCCACGTCAAAATCTAGGAAACATATGAAGTTATTTGCTTGATCCACCTAAGGATGATACAAAACTTCAATAACCATATTTCATGACATCCTAACGTGATTCATCTTATAGGGGTATTCTAATCCCATGCAATTCATGAAATACCTTCTCTTTGAATCAATACTCAATCGAAGGCCTAAATGTCACCCTCTTATCATTTATCATAATTACACCCTTATTCTACCACTAGGGCAGCATTCCATCTCTTCTAAATGCTCCTAGTCTTAAACTCCTTCAATTTCATTCAGGCTATACAAAGCTTTCTATAACTTACAGAAACCATCAGTTCTCT